GGTTAAAAGGCCTGGAGAATCTCACAGATTGACCTGTACAGCCTCTGGATTCACATTCAGCAGCTACCCTATGGCCTGGGTCAGACAGGCTCCTGGAAAAGGACTGGAGTGGATTGCTTATATAAGCACAGCTAGTACTCCGATCTATTACTCCCAGTCAGTCCAGGGTAGATTCACCATCTCCAGAGAAGACTCCAGCAGTAAACTCTATCTACAGATGAACAGTCTGAAGACCGAGGACACAGCAGTGTATTACTGTGCCAGACGAGACACAGTGAGAGACAATAACAGGACAGTCACACAAACACTACTTCCTCTATTTACAACCACTGAGAACATTGACTTTCTACAGTATCACAGATCTTAACTGTAATAGTTTCAAGGTTTCATTTAATTGTCATTGTAAAAAACAGGATCACACTATTAAAAGCAACTGAATTAAAAAAATGTTTAAAATTAAATTATGAAACAGAACATAATATAAGACTGAATGATATTTACAAAGAAGATATACAGTTACACACACAAAATAGATGTAAGGAAGTAAGTGATTATTGTTAAAGCTTTATACATAAACAAAAAATAGGATTAAAAGTAAAAAATAATTAAGGACAACAAGAGAGAGACCAAACTAAAACCCCCCAAAACAAAGACAGGGCAGGAGATCTATAAATAGCCTTGTCCATAGAGATTGGTTTCTAGAAGCTAATTTAAACAGTCCAAAGATTCATTTCAGTGATTGAGGAAGATGATTCCAGAGGACGGGAGCTAAAACAGCAGAGATGCTCTTTTCTCTTGCAGTTGGAATAGGGGATGGATAAAGGGGAAAGATTTGAAGATCGGAGTGGTCAAAAAGTGGAATGAGGGACAGAGGTGATCAGAAGTTTAACTGGAGACAAGGTCATGAAGTGTTTTCTGTATAATCAGCAGGATCTTATATTGAATTCAGAATTTCATGGGAAGCCATGCAGTGAAATGTATAGATAGTTTTTAATTAAGCCGTGAAAAATGGCTCTGAGAAAGATCATCATCAACCAACAACAATAACCATCAAACAAAAGTTTTACTGTAATGATCACTTCCTCACAAAACAGCCAATGACAGAACAACAATCTGCTGAAATCACTGAACAAAATAAAATAAATGAATTAAAGAAAGGATATGAACAAATGAATGAATAAAAAAATATATTATTCTACATGTATACATTTCAGCCACATTAATGTTTACATAGTTTGGCATGAGAGTGAAAACTAATGTTGCATTTCCCGTTATAAAAACACTAGATGGCAGTCAGTGTCAACTTTCTCTCTCCTCTGTCACTATAAGGAGACTCTCATATCTGCTTATCTCACTGATCTCAACTGACTGACACTCAAACCCTGGACTGAACTAGAGTTTTATACTCACACCCTTTGTGAGCTTGCTTCACCACAACACTAATAGAACATTTGAAGTGCTGGATCAACAGTGACTGCAGCTTCATGTGTTCATTTAATTTGGAGGTCACACTGAACTGAAGACACCGAGAAAAGGAGAAAGACTGAACAACATCTTTATTGTTGGTTTTTCTGTCTGTTTTTAACTCACTCTCTCTCTCTCAGAGTCCAGCACTCCTCCTTCTCTCACAGATTTAGTCTTTATGTATCAACACTGTAACTCCAAAATGTCTGACTGGTAAAATGCAAATTCACACACTGATACACAATCCCCACCCATTCTGCCTCCACAATAAATATCCTTCATAATAACCTTTGCAGTTGCAGTCAAGTTCCCACCAAGACAGCTGTACAAAGTCTCTTCCTCTTGGCTCTCATTTCAGGTGAGTGAAGTCGGTGTCCAGCTGAGGAGGAGAAAATGAGCTTTGGATGTCTGCTGGCTTCCCATCATCTAAACTCTGTGTCTCTTTCAGCTGCTCAGGGTCAGTCCCTCACCTCCTCAGAGCCAGTGGTCAGCAGAGCTGGAGAACCAGTCACTCTGTCCTGTAAAGTGGAAGGACTTACTTTGGCTTGGCTGCACTGGATTCGTCAGAAACCAGGGAAAGGACTGGAATGGATCGGACGCATTGATGGCGGAACTGGCAGAATATTGGCCCAAAGTCTCCAAGGCCAGTTTTCCATCACCAAAGACACCTCCAAAAACCTTGTGTCCTTAGAGGTGAGGAGTCTGAAACAAGAAGACTCTGCAGTTTATTATTGTACACGAGAGCCACAGTGACACACCAGACTGCAACGCTGCACAAACACTGAACAACACTGATCCCTGTGTGAGAAGCACTGAAGCATGTCAGCCCTTTGAAAACAAACTTATTTCCTATGAAATGATGGCCAATTATCAATAAAACACATTCCATTAATAAAAATGTATTTGTCAGTGTGTTGGGACAGTTTATCAAGACTCACAGCAACACCTACATCAATAAGAAGAAAACCTTCCTGTAATTACAACATAATTTTAACTACAATGAAGACTGCCTGAAAAAGCTCTGTATCATACCTCACACCATATCATCGTATCATCTGTCATGTCTCATGTCTTAATACCTTCATCTGATTTAAATATAGCTCAAAATATTATTCAAGATGCAAATAAAGGTTACTTATAAGGAAGTGAAGTGTGTGTGTGTGTGTGTCAGTGAGAGGACAGAAGAGCTCACATCAGTTCAACTTCAACATCAACATGTTCTCTGTAGCTCTGATACTGCTGCTGGCAGCTGGATCCTGTGAGGAGCTTTCAGTGGATTCACACTAATAAACACATTAGAAACACTGAATAGTCAGATGAATGATGGAGGTAATGTTGATTTCTGTTTCCACAGGTGTGAACAGTATTGATCTCATCCAGTCAGACTCAATGGTTGTGCAGCCTGGACAGTCTTTGACCATCACCTGTCAGGTCTCTGGTTATTCTCTGACTGATAACAGCTATGCAACAGGTTGGATCAGACAGTGTGAAGGAAAATCAATGCAATGGATCTGGCATCGGTGGGGTGGAGGAGACTTTTATCAAAACAATGCTCTGAAGAACAAGTTCAGTTACAGCAGAGACACTTCTGCTCGAACAGTGACTCTAACAGGACAGAATGTGCAGCCTGAGGACACAGCTGTGTATTACTGTGCACGTCGGCCCACAGTGATACAAACCACCAACAGACCTGCACAAACACCCAGCAACTATGTGACTCAAGCATAAACATATTCTAAATGTTAACATTAATAAAGACAATACTCTATGATGACTTAATAAAAAGGAATGTTTATTGAATCACAGAGGGAATGTCTTTGGAAGAGTATTTTATTATCTGTGTAGATCTCACTTGACTTCCACTGCAGCTGGCAGTCTGTATCAGTATAGAAGAGACATAGAGAATATGTATTTTTGCTCAATCCAAGATGCAAATGATACGTTTATATTAATTTCTGTTTATGTATTCCGATACCTAGAAGAATGGGGAAAACATTCATGGGGTAGAAAATAACATCTGATAACTAACCTCTAACTTAAATAGAAGCTATCTTTTCACTGAAACGTAAACAGGATGATTTTTTCTTTTCTAATGTAACCAAAGTGAAAAAAGATATAATGCTGTACACCATGAGATAAAGATTGTCAATGAAGGGCATGTTTTTTTTCTCAATTTTGGTTCAAACCCTTGAAACCCAGCTCTCTCCTCCCTGTGAGGAGGAGTCAATGCAAACCCTTTTTAGTAACAGAGAAGAGAGAAACTCAGTAACAAACATTTTCTGGGATTTTTGGGCAAAAACTCTGTCTTGTCAGACCCCAAAAGCTCTCACTGCAACTGGCAACTTGAACTGCCAGCTCATTGGCCATTCCTGGCCTTTCATTCCCCTCCCTCTGCCCTCTGACATGACAAAATAAAATCCAGACCACAAGATAGAGAGAGAGAGCCACAAGTACACAAACCATCAGTAGACTTGAACTAAATCCCCTGAGCCTGAACACTAGTAACATGAAGCCACCAGAGGAGGAGCCCTCAGACCACTAATGATTTCAACACCAGTTCACTGTTAGAGTAAAGACAGAAACCTTTAATTAACTGTAAAGGGGACACATGAGTAACTTAATCAGTAGTCTTCTGCCAACTTCATGGTAATGTTATTCCACACTGTGAGGAGGAGTCAATGCAAAACTCAGATGTCTTCCACCTCTACTTATCTGACTGCAGAGAGGATGACAGAGAACAGTGGACACACAGTTTAACATGATGGACTATAGGACAGGACTGCTGCTGTTAACTATCTGCTGGGCAGGTGAACATCTTCACTGATCTTTGGTTGACATATTTTTACGTGTGCCAGTGTAACACATGACATGCATATCTTTCTTCTTTTGACAGGTGTTGATGGTCAGACTCTGACAGAATCTGAACCAGTGGTTAAAAGGCCTGGAGAATCTCACAGATTGACCTGTACAGCCTCTGGATTCACATTCAGTGACCACAGCATGCACTGGGTCAGACAGGCTCCCGGAAAAGGACTGGAGTGGATCGCTTATATCAGATATGACAGTAACTTAATCTCCTACTCTCAGTCAGTTCAAGGCCGGTTTACCATCTCCAGAGACAACAGCAGACAGCAGGTGTATCTGCAGATGAACAGTCTGAAGACTGAAGATTCTGCTGTTTATTATTGTGCTCGACACCCACAGTGACTGGAGTTGGTTGAGCAGCTGTACAAAATCCTACAGTACTCATCTTTACTGAACATACGGACTGTAACTACCACAAAGGATTATTGCTTTTCTTGGCATTTAAGGAAATTACTGCATGTGCTAATGTCACGGGGGAAGTTTGATTTTATTTAAGCATGCTTTTACTTTGAATTTGCTGTGTTTTTGTCTTATTTATTATTGCATGCTTTTATTTTGAAGTGTGTTTGTGTTACGTTGGTTTTACTTCCCCACCGGAGACATACCTTAATCAAGCATAAGGACTTACACCTGGCACCCAGAGAGGGGGAGTGACTGTTCTTGGATAAAAAGGACACTATGGAAGATACCCGGGGGGCACGAGGGAGGACACAGAGGGCACGAGGGAGGACACGGAGGTCACAACGGGCCGGACAGCAGGAAGCAGACAGAGAGACAGAGCAGATCATCGCACTGGAAGAGGCCTGAAGAGACACCGGAGCAAACACCGACCGTTAGCGGCTATAATTGGGAGAAGGTAAAACTTCTCCCTCCCGCGTAAGTCCCGTTTCAGACCGGTGTTTGTGTAGTGTGTAATATATAAAGTTGTGCCTTGTTAAAGGACATTGACTGGCCCTGAGTTTCCCTCGACAGGCTGCCGAAGAGCGGAGCCAGGTGAAGAGCAGGTGGTCGCCACCAGAGACCCGCGACTGCCGTTGTTGACTTCCCACTCCATCCGTGCCACATTATTTTAGCTGGGTTTTAGTTGTTTGTGTTCTTTGTTTAGTTTATTTGAAGGTAGAGCTTTTAGTTGTTTTTACTTATTTTAAAATAAATTGTGTTCAACTGTGTTCCACTGGCTGTACTCATTGTTTTAAAAATAACACTGTTTACTGCTCTCCCCCGACATAAAAGAACCTGTTTACCCTAACTTTAATTTGGTGATCCTAAGAGGTCCTAGGCCTCAGTTAAACCTAGGTGGCGTTGTCGGCACTTGTGTTTTAATTTATCCACCCTTAGCACGGCTCACATTTTGGCGTTGTCGGCAGGATCGGGTACAGAGAGCAGTGTGGTGTATTTTAAAACAGTGAATATGATGATGCCTGTATATCCTGGTGCCCCTTGGCTGCCAAAGTTTAAAGGACCAAATTGTGACCTGAAATATCATGACTGGAAGGAGCAAATACAGGGCTTACTTGGAGCGCAAGAGCTAGCAGAGGCCAGAAAAATTGACATTGTGTTGGGTGCGTTAGCTGGGGAAGCCAAACGGCAGGTCAGTGTTTTAGAGGATGACGAAAGGGATAGAGTACGCAAAATCTTTCTGTATTTGGACTCTCTATATGGAGACAGAACCCCCGCCCCAGTGTTAAGGTCTCAGTTTTTTAGTTGTGTCCAAAGACCAGACGAGACTGTGCCCTCATTCATTCTAAGACTAAGAGAGCTGTATTGCAGGTTGCGGCAACATGACCCTGATGGAACTCCCCCTGACACAGTCCTGCGAGACCAGCTGCTGTTGGGGCTGCGTGAAAGTTCCCTGGCTCAGGCCCTGAAGGTCTATGCCCGCCGTAACCCTGATGAAACTTTTTCTGCACTCAGACAGGAGGCGCTGCTGCTTGATACAGAACATGGGAACCCCCAACCGGAGGTAATCTGTGCTTCTGTGTATAAACCAAATGTGCCTCCTCCATCACAGGACACCAGCTGGAGAGAGACCCTGAAAAGAGAGATCATGGAAGACGTGAAATCTCAGATGACCGGACTGACCCAGGAACTGTTGCGAGAGATTAAACCGCTCCTTCAACCAGCTGTTATTGCACCACAGCCCCTAATACAGCCCTATAGGGAGCGACAACGATCAGTTTCCCAGACGAACACCTGGGATGAGCAAGGTAGGCCCATTTGCCGCCAATGCAGACAAGCCGGCCACATAGCTAGATTTTGTAGGAGGCCAACTACTGCTCGGCAGGCTTTAAACTAGCTTTCCCTGCTGCTGAGGTCCGAGGGGCAGGGGTTGAAAGTACAACAGAAGAAAACGGGCCCACTGAAGCATTTATTGGAAGGTGTCCAACTATAGACGTAAACATTGAAGGAGTTACACTGTCGGGGCTATTAGACACGGGGTCCCAGGTCACCTTAATGCAGCAAAGCCTCTTTGAGCAACATTTTACCCAAGCTAAGCTTGGAAAGGCTCCTATAGTTTTTAAGTTACAGGCCGCAAATGGCCTGGAGATCCCTTATACGAGCTATGCCGTATTAGATCTGGAGCTAGAGGGTGCTAAGATACCTGGAAGAGGAATTGTGATTGTGAAGGATGAACACTGTACACACCCACTCATCATTGGAATGAATGTTGTTACTGCTTGTTGGACTGTTTTTTTTAAATGTCCCAGAGGGTCTGTTCCCCCCCCACAGACGTTACAGAGACAGCGGGTTTGGAGGGATGCATTTGCTACATGCAGACACATTGAGGCTACCATGACAGAGGACGGGATGTTGGGGTACGTGCGGCCAGCCAGCCGACGGGTCATCAAAATTCCCCCAAAGAGTGAAGTACTGGTGTGGGGTCGGGCTCGGATGAGCCTGGGGGAAAAAGATTACTGTGCCCTAATTGAAGCGCTGCCTGAGACTTGCAGTGTGAGGGTGGCCAGGACCCTAGCAGTGATAAGAAATGGCAGAGTCCCTGTGAGAGTTTTTAACCCACACCCCTACTGTTTGATGCTAGATCGGTACCAGAAGCTTGGCAAACTGTCCCGGGTGGATGAAGCGGATGTACATGGAGCCTGCGACCTTAACCTGTCCCTTGAAGGTGATTGTGTTGTTGGAGTGACACTGGTAAATGCTGCAGTTGACGAGGAGGACCAGAAGCTGCCGATAGGGGTGAGTGAACTCTCCAACAGGCCTGATCTGTCTGAGCAGCAACAGGAGGAGCTGCGCGCCCTGCTGCTGAAATGGCAGAAGGTGTTTGCACAGCACAATGAGGACTTCGGACGTACAGACCTGGTACAACATCGCATCCATACTGGTGATGCACCACCTATCCGAGAACGACATCGACCTCTTCCCCCTGCCATGTATAAAGAGATGAAATCCCTACTCTCAGGTATGCTGGAGCAAGGTGTCATTAAAGAGAGCTGTAGCCCATGGGCGGCACCCATAGTACTGGTGAGAAAAAAGATGGCAGTTGGAGATTCTGTGTGGATTACAGGAAGTTAAATGCAATAACTCATAAAGATGCATTTCCCCTGCCCAGGATTGAAGAAACCTTGACCAGTCTGACCAGAGCAGAATGGTTTTCTACTCTTGACTTAGCCAGTGGCTATTGGCAAGTTGAGATGGACACCCAAGACCAGGAGAAGACCGCCTTCACCACACCGCTGGGGCTGTATGAATTTGAGCGTATGCCCTTCGGCCTGTGCAATGCGCCAGCTACCTTCCAACGTCTGATGCAACAATGTTTAAATGGCCAATTGTCAGAATCCTTACTGGTTTATTTGGATGACATTATCATTTATTCACCTGACTTTTCCTCCCATCTACAGCAGCTAGATGAGGTGTTTAACAAACTGTGGCGGCATGGCTTGAAACTGCGCCTGGATAAGTGCAAACTCCTGCAGAAGGAAGTGAAATTCCTGGGCCATGTGGTGGACCAAAAAGGGGTGAGTCCTGATCCAGACAAAATCTCAGCCGTAAAAGACTGGCCCATCCCCACCACTGTAAGACAGGTACGAGCCTTCCTTGGCTTAGCTGGCTATTACAGACGCTTCGTTTCTGGCTTTGCAAAGATTGCACGCCCCCTCAACCAACTGCTGACAGGCATCCCTGCTGATAAAAAGTCGCAAATCCGAAAGGTACAGTGGTCCTCAGAGTGCCAGACATCCTTTGATCACCTGAAAGCAGCTTTAACACAAACACCTGTTTTGGCATATGCTGATTACTCCCTGCCATTCCTCGTTTACACAGATGCCAGTAATCATGGTTTGGGAGCAGTCTTGGCCCAGGTCCAACAAGGGCGAGAACGAGTGATAGCCTATGCCAGTCGCAGCCTACACCCAACAGAGCGGAATGATGCAAATTATAGCTCTTTCAAACTAGAGCTCCTGGCTCTTAAGTGGGCAGTAACCGAGAAATTTAAAGACTATCTGACTGGAGCCCGATTCACGGTGTACACTGACAATAACCCTGTGGCCCACTTACAGACAGCTCGCCTGGGTGCCGTGGAACAGCGCTGGGTCGCACAGCTTGCCTCCTTCGATTATGACATCAAGTACCGCTCAGGTAAAAGTAATGTAAATGCAGATGCCCTGTCTCGGTTCCCAATTAACCCACTGACTGCAGATGCCTCATGTGAAAACCTTGAGCTGGAAACCGTTCCAGTCACGGCAGCCATTGAACTGACCCCTGAGGGAGGTGAAGAGGAGTGGACAGGCAGAGAGTGGGAGGAGGCACAAGCTGGTGATGCGGACCTTCAAATCATTAAGAGGTATGTGGAAACCCAAATGATACCGACGAGACCAGAGCGCCTGACATTGTCCCTTAGAGCCCAGAGACTGTTGCAACAAAAGCGAAAACTTCAGGTTAAAAGCAAAATACTGTGTCGTAAAATGATTGACCCGCACACACACGAAGTGTGTTTCCAGATTGTGTGTCCAGAATCTAGGAGCCAAGAAGTTTGGAAGAGGATCCATGAAGCCGCTGCCCATGCTGGTGTGGAGAGAACCCTAAACCGGATCCGTCAGCGGTTCTATTGGCCTGATATGGAGAGGGAGGTACGTCAGTTGCAGCAGGGTTGTGTTGCCTGTAACCTGCAGCGAGACAGGGTGGAGCCTAAGGCCCCCTAAATCCATTCACAGTATCCTACCCCTTAGAAGTGGTGGGGTTGGACTTTTGTCCTTAGGTCGGCCCACAGACACCTACCAGAACATTCTTGTTGCTACTGATCTGTTTACCCGTTTTTCTTGGGCTATTCCCACTCGAGATCAAACAGCTCAGACTACAGTAAAGGCCCTGTGGACCCATGTGATCCAACCATTTGGTTGCCCCGCCCGTTTCCATTCTGACCAGGGACCTAATTTCGAATCTGCACTTATGAAACAATTTTGTGATACCTATGGTATAACTAAAAGCCGCACAACTCCCTACCATCCCGCAGGAAATGGCAGTGCAGAGCGTTTTAATCAGACCTTGTTAAATATGCTCCGCTCTTTAGAGACGTCTAAGCAATTTCACTGGCCCGACTATCTGCCCGAACTGACACACGCCTATAATAACACCACACACAGTGCGACTGGGTATACCCCTTCCTTCCTCATGTTTGGGCGACACCTGCGACTTCCTGTTGATGTAGGATTAGGTGTAGGTCCCCAACAGATGAGGCACGATGTAGGTGGGTGGGTACAAGACCACCAGCAGAAACTGTCCTTAGCTTATAGCCTGGCTAAACAAAGAATAGAGAGTGCAGCCACCCAGAACAAGCAGCACTATGACAAGAGGGCCAAAGCGTTACCACTTTTACCGGGGGAAAGGGTGTGGGTGCGAGATAGGAACAGACGAGGGGCAGGAAAGTTGTGTACTTGGTGGGACCCAGAGCCATGGGTGGTGTTGGAGCAGGTGGGGGATACAGGGGTTGTGTACAAGATTCAGCCAGAGAAGGGTGGCAGAATACAAAATATCCATAGGAACTCACTTAAGGTGTGTACAGTACCCCCAACCGAAGTCCCGCTACCAACCACTGAGCCGGTTGTCCAGATGCAGGGACCCATTCAGCCCATGATCTACGGGTTCCTTCCAGCACCGGTAGCCATACCGCCTGTGAATGTGGAACCTGAGGGTGCCCTACGATGCTCCACCAGGGTAAACTTTGGACAAACTCCAGTCCGTTATAGAGACTCATAACATGTTGCAGGGACTGCTAACTTTAAAGTGTGGGGAGATGTCACGGGGGAAGTTTGATTTTATTTAAGCATGCTTTTACTTTGAATTTGCTGTGTTTTTGTCTTATTTATTATTGCATGCTTTTATTTTGAAGTGTGTTTGTGTTACGTTGGTTTTACTTCCCCACCGGAGACATACCTTAATCAAGCATAAGGACTTGCACCTGGCACCCAGAGAGGGGAGTGACTGTTCTTGGATAAAAAGGACACTATGGAAGATACCCGGGGGCACGAGGGAGGACACAGAGGGCACGAGGGAGGACACGGAGGTCACAACGGGCCGGACAGCAGGAAGCAGACAGAGAGACAGAGCAGATCATCGCACTGGAAGAGGCCTGAAGAGACACCGGAGCAAACACCGACCGTTAGCGGCTATAATTGGGAGAAGGTAAAACTTCTCCCTCCCGCGTAAGTCCCGTTTCAGACCGGTGTTTGTGTAGTGTGTAATATATAAAGTTGTGCCTTGTTAAAGGACATTGACTGGCCCTGAGTTTCCCTCGACAGGCTGCCGAAGAGCGGAGCCAGGTGAAGAGCAGGTGGTCGCCACCAGAGACCCGCGACTGCCGTTGTTGACTTCCCACTCCATCCGTGCCACATTATTTTAGCTGGGTTTTAGTTGTTTGTGTTCTTTGTTTAGTTTATTTGAAGGTAGAGCTTTTAGTTGTTTTTACTTATTTTAAAATAAATTGTGTTCAACTGTGTTCCACTGGCTGTACTCATTGTTTTAAAAATAACACTGTTTACTGCTCTCCCCGACATAAAAGAACCTGTTTACCCTAACTTTAATTTGGTGATCCTAAGAGGTCCTAGGCCTCAGTTAAACCTAGGTGGCGTTGTCGGCACTTGTGTTTTAATTTATCCACCCTTAGCACGGCTCACACTAATATTAGAACAAAATTCAGAATCGGGAAGCAAACCCAAAACCTAAGATAGACTTTGCTTTATTATTAAACTAAAACACTGATCCTGATACAAAGAAGGAAGCAATAATCCTGATACGTAAACTTTTACTGTCTCTCGCTACTACCATTGTAATTGTTACGGCACCTCTCCAGATTTTACAACCACACTATGCCTGTCTGGTTGGAATTATATTTATATTAATTAGTTTTGCGCAATTATATTATCAATATATATTTTTGTGACTGAAGACAGTGGAGCAGCTTAACAAAAACCTCCACAGACGATAAGTAACAATGTAATCTTAATAACATCTGGGTTTTCTCACAACCTGAGAACATATTTAAAGTTTGATACCAACAATATGATTGGCTGATGGAGATGGTGGAAATCTGTTTGGTTTAACTGAGTAAACCAACTGAGTTAAGTTTCTGATTACAGAGAAAGCAGGAGAAGAGAGAGAGAGAAATGTAAACAAATGAGCAGCATAGTCTTCCTGATTGAACTTCTCAGCTTCATTTCAATCAGAAGAGACTTCATTAAGAGTGAACAATATTTACTGACAGGACAGGATCATGACGCCATCATATTTTAAGGGTTTAGTGAAGGTGTGTGTGGTGTTGGATGGCAACCCCCCAAAAAAGAGAAGAAAAGAACAAGGAGGAATACGAACCAAACCAATAAATCTTGGGTGGGTGGGTTTCTGGTAAAACCTATTGTGGCGACATGAGGAGGATTACTAAGTTAGGTATCAGAAGATCTTTTCTCTTTTTGTTTGTTACCGACAACGCCACCTTGGGTTAGGGCCCAAGGACCTGTACTAAAGGTCAATTATCACCTCTTACAAAAGGACACTCAGGTTCGTTCACTCAGGGAGGGCAGGAGACAGAGTTCAATGATCACATACAACATTTTATTATTTAAATGAGCACAAGGTTTGGCACAAAAAAATAAAAGAAAAAAGGGAGCCCAACTGGGGAAGGAAGGGGGTAGCCTACGGGCTGAGGCTTATGGTGCTATCCATTTGTCTTGTAAACCCCCAGCCATTTCACCGAGACACCCCCCCTTTTGGTCGGATTTTCAGCCGTCCAGCTCGGGGTACCTCACAGTACACCGAGCTAAACGAGGCCATATTAAGATGTATTTTCTTCGTATTTGTACTACGTTGGTCGTTTTAATGTCGATTTCAAATGCTTCTACACACTTGTTTACATTGCTGCTTTAGTCCGGTCACCAATTTATGCATTGCACGGTGTTGCTGTGCGTGCAATACAATGTAAAGTTTTGTTTTCGAGCTGGTTTGCTGAATAAGCTAATGTAGCTAACAATAACACTTGCCTGCCACTGCCCATGGTGGCTCGAGACAAACGCCACAGCACTTGCTGAAACTGAAATAGGCGAAAATGGCAATATATTATTGAAATGTAAGACTTGCAATAACGGAATTACTTGAAATGTTACTGTTTCTGTAGAAAAACATAATTATTTTTTCACATTGAGCTTGTTTAGGGGGAGGGGTGAAGAGGGTCGGCGTAGCAGGGGAGACAGCCACCACACATCATGCGACCAGCAGACTATGCTCCGGTTGGCGGTGGTAAACAACCCCAACATATCGCCTCGACCACGATGG